CGGTTTTTAAGTGCCGCCAATCTACACTTAAAATTTTTGCGACAGTTCATAAAATAAAACACTTTATTTAAAATCAAAATAGTTAATTGGATTTCGGTGGAAAATGAGCCGATATAGAGTTTAGCATAGATTCAAAACAATCATATCGCCATATGAACTCTGATGAATAAGATTCCAAATGAAATAACATTTCCAAAACGTACGTTTGCCAAGATAAAGTTTTATGTTGTGGGAATTGGTACATTTTCGTTTTTTCGGTAAAATATTTCCCTCCTGAAAAAATAAAATTGCATCTTGTTTTGTTTTTGGCAAATCCCAAAGACGAATATTCGTAGCACTAAAAATGGCGACAAAAAAGAATTGTTTTTTTTTGTTTTTGTTTCGTCAGCATTCTTTATTTTACGTTTCTTAGTTTCTAAATAATGATTTTTATTGAAACTTGAAATTTTTTGATAAAAATTGTTGTCAAAAAACGTTGTTTACAAAATTAAATTTCATAAAATTATGAGGCTTATGTATACTTTTTGTTCATTTTAATTTTTGAACTAATATGATTCTTAAAACTATAGAATGTAAAGTTTAAATGGGCCTTTCATGTTATATCATTAAATTTAGTAATACTATTTCTCGGGCATTAGGTTTTAACTCTTATAAGAATATACATATTTTTTTCTGTTAATGTACAAATATTTTTCCGATGTGTTTTGGATATTCCTTCTCTAATAAAAAGAGATACCATTTTGTTTTCGGTTGTACAAGAAAGAAGATCAAGCATTTTTCTTTTTTAAATTTAATAAGCCACATTAAAGAAGGAACGTTGCAATGCTACACGCTACATTAACGACGTCTCCAGAGTAACTGAATGACGGTTCATATGGAAATCGCAGGTAAGCGTCTCATACAACAACGCCCCCTATAGTTCGTTGCGATCGCGATATTCGCGATCGCAATAATACTGTTACGCGATACTGTTACATCTAATTGATCGTTAATTAAGTAGAATTTATTGTTAATAACAAATGGAACTTGTCGTTACTGTTACTCAAAATTTCGATCTCTATCCGACTAGCGAGATTATTTGCTTCTTAAATAGAGCTTTTTTCGAGAACAATATAAGTTGTTATTTTTTCCTGATTACTGCAATAAACATTTATTGATAATTGAAAGTTCAGACACTTTGCTACGTGATCAAATTATCAGATTAAGGGTTTTTGAACTGAAACGTTCAATTTGGGAGGAAGCATTTATTCCCTCTCCCATAAATTTGATTTTTTGATTAGAATTGATTTTTTTAACCCTAATTCTTTTCAAGAACGTCAATTTAATTCAGCCTTTAGCCTAATTAACCACTGCATTTGTCGAAAGTACAAATTAATAGTTTTCATAATTTGAATACACACTTATCGGTCTTTTAATTCAATGTCATTTCTGTTATACGAAAACAATACTCGTACAGTATAGTACTGATGCAATTAACTGAAATCATAATATCGCAGGGTGTGTGCAAGTTTTGATTTTAATCCTTTTGTTTGTTACCTATAAATTCATTTACAGATGGCAATAAACATTAATAATTGATAATTAGATCACAGAATCGAAATATTGGTCACGTCTAGTGTTCGGTAATGTCTTTTACAAAAGCTTATTCTATTCAATTCTATTATATATATTGCAACGTATCAAGCTATATAAATAAGAGTTCTGTTTTTTTATTTAAAAAAAACTTTTATTCTCAAACAACACAAACAGTAACAAATATGAAGTACCCGTAGCGGAATAGTTATAATCTTGTAAAAAAAAATTAGAAAGATCCGTAACGGGTTATAAGAAAACTCAAATTCCAAAACAAAACTAATCTCTAAAAAAACCAACAACTCTGTTGTTCTAAAAAATGTCTTCTAATTTTATCGTCTGCTTTTATTTTTTTATTTATCTCTTTATGTGTTTATTTTATTTTATTCATGCTTTTGCTAGACCGTTATTTTTTAATATTTTTACTTTTATTCATGCTTTCGCTAGCCAATTATTTTTTTATTACTTTCAAACTTTATAATAAATAAAAATTCGAATGAAAAAAATTTCTCTTTTTTGTCGAATTTGAATAAAATACATTGAATGATAAAAAAAGAAACTAAAAAAAGGAAAAAGTAATCGCGTTTTTCAAATAGCTCATCACTCAAAACACGGGAAAAAAATTTCTAGATTACCGTAAGAATCCCACAAAGCTGAAAAAGAGCCGAGTTTATGAACGAAAACTAAAAGTAGAACAATTTGATTAATACCAAGATTCTCGTGGAGAACAAGCAATTTGTCAGCTCCTCGTTCACCAAGATTTGGCTCCAGATCATGTGACCTTTACCTTCAAAATCTTCAGATATGAATATAAATCTATCTTTAGTTGGTTTCCACGAAGCTGAATCTAGGTTACAACTACACAAAGTATCGTTTGCAAAGATTTGATGGGGTTTCGTTCGGTCAAGATTTTGTGGTCAATGTAAGAAGAAATCGTTTTCTGTAACAGGAGGAGTATATTTTATTTGCTGGAATAAAAACTTCATTTTTCGCATTTATTTTTCTTATTGTTACATATATGCAAATAAAAGAAAATGATTTATTCTTTATTACTGAAAAACATTGTTTGCTCCTTAAAAATTAATTGCAGAAAAAATTATTTGAATAATTAGTTATTAGAAAGCTTGTGAATGATGAGAAAAAGATGCTAATAAAAATTAATTGCTAAATAGATTATATTTTTAACAGAAATAAATCACAAATCAAAAAGGCTTGAAAGATTGTGGACTAATTATAACAAGCAATTTTAAGTGCGAGTATTACTTGATAAATAAACTTTGACTTTATGATCGATAATCATATGATCAGTAATTATTTGTTTAATAATCATATGATCAATAATTATTCGTTCAATAATAATATGATCAGTAATTTTTTGATCAATAATCATTTAGGAAATGTGTTCACAAAGTAAGTTTTTCCTGAGTAAATATACCAATAATCTACTATTTCATATTTTCTACATTAATTTATTTTTCAGGTTTTTCAAAGAATATCACTAAAATTCCTAACATTGATCCAACTAAATTATTCATGAAAGACGATAAGACTTAAAGACAGAGATATTTTTATCTTCTTTTAATTTTTGTCAGTGGCGGTATCTTTAAAATGTTCAGCTGATAACCTTCTTTTATTTTCAGTTTTTTTCGGACTTCAAAGTAGTGTTTTTTGCATTGTACGAAAGTGTTAGATTTTCTTAATTAATTGAAGCTCCAAGTGGCAGGAGGCTCTAAAATACCTTTTTGAAAAAGAAATAGAAATTTCTTTGAAATCTTATTTTACTACACGCTATCAAAACTGTGTTGGACTATCTATCCGAAATTGGTGTCAAAAAACTTTAGAAATAGTATAGAAATAGTATATAATAGTAATAGTTGGAAACCAACAAAATATGTTAGTTCCTGATTAATTTTGGTGTTGGGCCATCAAAAAATACCATCAAACCATGTTGGTTTTTGATGGATTTTTGCTGTTGGACCATTGAAAAATACCATCAAAATATGTTGGTTCCTGATAAATTTTTTTGTTGCACCATCGAAAAATACCATCAAACCATGTTGGTCCTTGATGGATTTTTTGTTCGACCATTGAAAAACACCATCAAACTATGAAGGTTTTGTCTATATTGTCCCAACATAAATTAGTTCGAATTCCCAACATGAGGTGATGGTCAGACTTAATGGTACCATCAGGAATTAAGATGGTTTTTGATGGATTATAAGTTGAGACCAACAGCATATGTTAGTTCCTCATTAATTTTTTTGTTGGGCTATCAAAAACTACCATCAAACCACGTTGGTTCTTGATGGATTTTTTTTGTTGGACCATCAGAAAATACCATCAAACCATGGTGGTTTTGTTCATGTTGGTTCAACATAAAGTTGTTCCAATTCCTAATATGAAGTGATGGTCAGTTTTGTTGGTACCATCATAAAATATGATGGTTTTTGATGGAAGTTCATGATGGTTACCATCTTATTCATGTTTGTCCATCAAAGAAAAACTATCATGAATTTTATCTTGGGATTTCAAGTTAATTGCGAATTTGGCGTCCATACACACTTTAAAGGGTGCAGTTAAATCTTAACTCCAAAAAAGGAAAAGGCTTACCGATCAGATGCATTTAGTACCTTTATGAGTTATTTCGCCAAGTTTGACATACGTTTCAAAACCGTCAGTCGATCGATATTGTTTTATAACAATCGAGCAGTGAAGGTGAAAGTTTGATTTCGCTTCGCAACGATGCTGAACTTTCCACAGAAAGAGAAGTAAAATGTAAAAACAAAAACATGTATGTATTCAGTTGCTTTTACAAAGATATTCATATTTTCATAAGAAGATATACATAAATCTGTTAATTGCATAAAATAATTTTTTCAACAATCAACTTCTGTCCCTTCAATTTTGTCATGTCAATTTTGTCGAATTCATATTAATATTCTCTCTGTGCTGTAATTATGTTTAATTATCAAAATAATCTTATTTTAATAAGTGTTGTGCCGTGTTATATTGTATTATAAATCAATAATTATCTACTTATATTGTATCGTAAAAGTGACTTTAATAACTCTAATGTACATCATATCTTATTGAAATAATAAATTTTAACGTAAATAAAATTTGAAAATTGGATAACAAAAATGAGGGCAACACCTTAACACCAAGAAGTGAGGAAGTACATTCTTGGCGCTTCACTACACACTACTTTGGTGTAAAGCAGTGTTCCCCAACCTTTTTATCACCGCGGACCTGTCAGCGTTTGATAATTTTACCGCTGCCCGCTGGAGGGGGGGGGGCTACGTTGATTTTTTATATTGTAGATAATTTTGATTTATTAATTTTAATTTAATTGTATTTAAACATGCCTTCAAAATAAAATACGGTTACACCAAAAAATAAATATAAAGTGATTTAACATTTTAACTTACTAGAACGTAAAATCAAGGAGAACCCTGAGCTTGTTTCTTTGCAATGAGACTGTTCCATTTGAGGGGCAATCGGAGACAATGACATCCGAAGTGTGTTGCTTATGTCCAGTTTATTCCGTTGCTTCGTTTTGGTTGCTGTTACTGCAGAAAAACCCGCTTCACACAGATAGGTTGTCGGAAATGGCAATAGGGATTTAAGTGCTGTGGTGGCAATCTCGGGGTATTCTGCCATGACTTTAATCCAGAACACTGGCAGAGTTGTTGTCCCGAACGTAGTTTTAAGGTCACCATCATTAGCAATCTCCAGCAGTTGATCTTCTTCTTGCACAGACATGCTAGATTCGCCCGACTTATTGACAAACGGGTCGCAGATCCATTCCTTACCAGATATATCTAATTTGGGATAAACCTAGGGATTTAAATTCATTTTCAATGAAATGGGCGGCCCGGTAAAATTTGATCCACGGACCGGTACCGATCCGCTGACCGGGGGTTGGGGAACACTGGTGTAAAGTAATTGTCACTATTTGTGGTTTTGAAATACACAAAATTTTTTTACAGTGTATCTTATTAGAAAAATAAATTTTTCTTGATTTTATTTAACTGTATTTTACTAAGTCTCTACATTTCACATATTTCAGTAGGTGTACGTACTAAGTGACATTTTTGAGCTTTTTTGTAGTGGATAGGTGTTTTAAGAACATTTAATGACAAATAGCCGAAGAGTAATATTTAGAACCTGTACTCAAGGTATGGGAGTGCAGGAATCACCTTGTACACATTTTAAAATGCCTTAATTTTACGTTAAACGAGGTTTTTTTGTGAAACACTTCTTGTTTGGACTTATTGGATATTTTTGTACTTATGGACTTGATCGAAGTTTTGTAGACCAGTTAGGGGATCAGCAACAATAACTGTAGAATAACATCATAAATCCTCTCTTTCGGTAACAAGTTAAAATACTAAGAGTGCGAACGCTGAGACGTGAACAATTCTAATGAGTTTTGGGGACTTATAGATTTCACCATTTGAAAGTTTGCAGTTAAGAAATTAAAGTGCGGCATAAACCCTTATTTCTTGTAACAAAATATAAACTTTACAGTTCCTTTATGCAAATTCATTAAAATGTCACCTGTGACCTTTATCCTCTCAGCTCTTTAACTATTTATTTAAATTAAGCAAATGGTTTTGTAAATACATTTATAAGAACTATTTTACCTGCAATCTCAGTTGATTATAAATTTTTATATTTCTTTAATATTTTGCCTACTTGAATCATTAATTAAGACAACTCAACAAAATGAATCTAAATAAATACTCAACTTATGATTAATATTTAACGCAATTTAAATTATCAATTAAGACAACCTAAAAAGAATAATATCCATGTAGCCATTAGATAGTGAAATACCAGAGTTTATGCTGCAATATAAAAGAAATATAATTATAGATTATAGAAAAGCTGCGACTTAGAGATTAATAAATTAATGTGGATCCTTAGAGGCATTAAAATTTTGCCTTAGTATCTGAAATTCCGAAAAATAGACAAAAACGTTAACGTTAAGAGCAATTTATCCCTTTTTTTATGACTGTTAGTATCAGTCCCGCAGTGGTCTGATCATAAAGCGATGGTTCCCATTAAAACTCCGAAGTCAAGTTTGCTGTGACCACTTTGATCCGTCTGAGTGGTCCGAGGGTGCTCTGTATCGGTCCTCGTTAAACTCTTCGTCCGTAAATTGCTAGATTTCGCGCGTAAGTTTTCCGGCTACCAAAGCAGGGGAGCCATCCCCTCTGCAGAGGATCAAAATTGTAATGGCATGTCTAAGGATCATTCCAGAGCGTTGCCGATAGCCCATTATGCAGCTCTAATACGATGTAAATTTAGTACTTACCTACCATCTGACTCTGCGATAGATTTACTTTAATATCTCTTCTGAATATTGTAATTTTTCTGGCTTTACCCGTTTTTTTCCCTCCAAAATCTTCAAATCGATATAAGTAAGAAGAATACACCTTACACTGTCTTATTCTTGGTGCAAAGAAAAATATTATCAGATCTTTTTTCCTTAACCGTCATTATTTTTCTATCCGAACAGAAAGATGATACGCCAAACGTTGATCAGGATCTTGAGAATATCGATATGTCTCCTCCAATCGGATTTATGAGCTGTTTCAAACATTTGAGATTGGGATGCATCAAATAGGATTTCTTCCATCGAAAACAATCATTCTCGTAGAAATTGAATGTGGCTTTAAAATAAATATTGCATCAAATATGTATATTTTTATTATTTATCTTTCTGCGAGTACAGTTAAAGCGGATAAAAATGGTTATTAAAATATGCTAGAGAACTATAGATTATTCTCATTTTAGTTCTAAGTTAGTATCAAAATTCTTCTTTATAATTAAAAATTTATCCCAAAATGCGTCTTTTTAAATCTAAATATGACTCAAAAAGCGTCATTTCAAATTTAGATATGAATTAAAATGAGTCTTTTTAAATCTAACTATGTATTAAGTCGCTTCTTTTTAATTTTGAATTTGTAACAAATTGCTCTTGTTTAACTCTAAATTTTTACTAAACTCCGTCTTTTTCAACTTTTCTTTTGTGATTAGGCTGTGTTTTGTTTGTCCTTGTCGCGGTAATGTATTTTAAAGCTCTTGTAACCTTAGAACGTTGCGCTAAGGTTCTGAAATTTGGACACCGACTACAAAGTGCAATTTTAGATCTCGATCCGAAAATTCGTTTAAGTTACATATTTTATTAAACTTCTCTCTTTATTAATTTCTTACACCAATGTATATTATATTATGTTTAAAAGCAATAATACTCTAAACCAGGGGTGGCCAATCTGCGGCTCGCGAGCCACATGCGGCTCTTTCAAGGATTATTTGTGGCTCTCGATAAATGTACCCAAGTTCCCTTTTCATTTTTGTGCTATTATATTTTAATATTTTTCTGAATCCATTTGAAATTAACATAATTCAAGGTGAGCTTTCCATTTCCTATATAATTATGACCCAAAAAGCATCTGAAGAATTAGAATTAATAGAGATGCAAAACGATCAAGCTCTACAATTAAAAAATAAGTCGACGTCGATTACTGAATTTTGGAAATTTGTACCAGAATCGAAGTATCCTGAATTATAAAAGGCTGCTTGTCGAATTATTTCAATCTTCTTCTTATGGGAATAATTTTTTATTCCCCTTTAAAATTCGTGAAATCCAACCACCGATCAGTATTAACTAACCAGCATCTCAAAGAATTACTGAAAACTGCTGTCACCAATTATTCACCAAATTTTAAAGAGTCATCAAGAAAAAAATGTGTTTAATTTTTAATATTTAAATTCAATACACATATTTTGCACTTTTATTTATATATTTTCAATAAATATAATTTCTGCAAAAAAAAAAACGTTTTCTATTGCCTTTTTTGCATGCCTTTTAAATAAGTATTTAATTGCTAGTTTTAGTGTTTTTCAGCCGGCATCAAAAATAAATGTTTAGAACAACTTTACGATGTAAATATCTTTAAAAAATAAAAATGTTCAGTTCAATATTTCTGTCAAGATACTCTCAAAAACATTATTTCTGAACATTCTTTGGGTTCCTTACTCCTTCATGTACAACATATATTTTTCAAATGTGCTATCTCTAACGTTTATTACTCCTTGGGAGCGAAATATTATGGAATTGAGCAGAGTTAACAAAGCAAACCAGTTTAACTCAAAAAACCATTCAAACATAAAAAACTGACTCTAAATTATTCAAACTCTCGGAAGAATACAAAACAGACTTATAGTGTTCGCAAAGTATGTCTAAACACATTTTGAAAACCCATTATTCCAAAAGGACAGGTGAGAGCGTCTCGGGAAGTATAACTTGTGATTTATGATATCATCTATTTCTGGCTATAAGCAGACAATATTTCCGAACCTAAAGGCTCTTCTCTCAAATGAGGACTATAGCTTGGTGCTGCAATCGCGTCATACGATGCTTCTTTTCAATCTATCAAACATAGGAGACCATAAAACGAAATCTGACTTACCATAAATCTAACCAGTGGCTGGAACCAATATCAAGAGAACCATTAACTTGAAATCAATGAATCGTCCTTTATAGTTTTAATTTATATAATGCAGTCTCCGATTGATGCATAGCTTTGTTGAAATTCGTATAGATATTCACTAAATATTTCAGCTTTAATGAAACCAGGCCCAAAAAGCAAAGCAGCTTTAGAGTTTTGAATTCATCAAAAAAATTATATTTTTTCAGAGAAAACACTTTTTTGTGTTTATAAATTTAACTAGCTGAATTCTTCGTACGGGGAGAAAAAAAATGAAGCAATCATTATATCAACAATAATAAAGAACACTCCGAAATCTTGCACAAAATTGAAAAACATATTTAACACAATGAATAAAACTAAAATAATTCGATTTTTTAAATCTATTCTTATATTTTATTCCTCCCGGTAGCTTTTTGCTATAGATTTCTTACGCTACTCTTAAACGGAATAGTACCATTTCTAAATTAATATTGCTTTTAACATAATTTATTTTTAATTGCTATTAGTAATTATAATAAAATAAAAAAAATTTCTAATGCTCACCTGGATAATGACCTAGGTCATACAGGCACCTGAGGGGAAAAATTTGTTGTCCACTCTTTTAGGGGCACCATATTAGGTGAGCCAACGTTGCTCTTACAGTAAGGACAGATAGTACAGAGAAGGAAAAAAAATACATGCCTTGCCCGGGATTCGAACCCAGAACCTTTCTGATGCAAGGGCAGTCCCCTAACCCCTACACAGGCCGGTCGGTTTATAGTCAAATTTAATTAAGCATAAATAGCATGAATTAATATGGTGATTTTTTATGTTTTTTTAAAAAAAAAATTCAGTACTATTTCTCTATCAGTTTTGTTTTACAGTGCATAGTATTTTTCTTCGCTTCCTTATCAAAATTAATTAGGCATTAATTAATTATCAAATCAAATTATCAGAATTAATTAAGCGAAATTAATTAAATATCATATTATCAAAATTAATTAAGCCTCATTGGAGTCTGTAACAGCATGATAATTTTCCAAGGTTCCTCTAAAGAATGAATACATTTTCGGTTAAAATGTAGAATTGGGGGCCCCTCTAATATTTAACGATTTTAAAACATTCCTATGTATATATATATATATAAAAATAAACCAAGAGCCAATCACATAACGGACAATAGAAATTGTGATAACCCGATGCTGATATCATTAAAAGCAGAGACAACAAGAGAAGAATATAATGGTAACAAGAAATTGAGTTTCATCAAAATTTTACGATTGATATTTGTCTCCAAACCAAGGAGCCCCAAATTCTACGCTTTAACCACCTTTTCTCCA